TGTGCAGACACTCTACAGCAGTTCTCAACCTGTGGGTCGCGACCCCTTCAAACGACCCTTTCAGAGGGGTCACCTAAGACCATAGGAAAACAAAAAGATATTTACATTACAATTCATAGCAGTAGCAAAATTACAGTTATAGAGTAGCAATGAAAATAATTTTATGGTTGGGGGTGACCACAACACGAGGAACTGTATTAAGGGGTCGCGGCATTAGGAAGGTTGAGAACCGCTGCTCTAGCAGGTCAGGTTTCCCCTGGGCAGCGGTCAGGACTGGAGGGACACTTCCTTGTCTATACTGACTAGGATTTCTATCATATTATATTTGTAATACAGTCCTCTGCTTCCTTAGTACTTTACTCTCTGTGTCTAAAATTCAGTAGTTTAAAGCTTGCTGATTTTTTAAAAAGACGGCTGTTGTTTTCCCAGTATGCTTTTAAAGTTTTAAATATATTTTTTATATGAAAAATGAACACCTCCCTTATACAAGTGACCAATGTTTAACTGAACATTTCTGTTACTGCGATCTTGACTCCTATCTGTATCTCCAGAAACCTAGAGAGGGACGCATGTTACGTGTTCAGAAAACACTGAAGAAATTAATATGGCTTATGGGCAGTAACAGTGATTCACTTTTATAGTTAAGACTTGACATTTCTTTGCATTTGTGATCTTATAAGTGGAAAAGGAAATAATGGGAAAATATTTTAATAACATGGAAATGGAATAACCCTCCACTACAATTTTACCCAAACAATAAAGACACCCAGTTACCCCCAATGAACATGGCAGGTGCCTGGAACTACCATGAGCTATTCCTGGTTCTCCAGTCAAGACTTGATGTGTCTAGGGCCCTGGCACCTTTCTCACAGGCCTTTCCATCTACCGGGCATGCCCGCCCTGGCCAGTGTGTCCTACAAACTAACACTCTTTCTTCAACATCCAGCAAGAGGTCTCCTCTGAGCAGCCTTCCAGCACCCATCCAAGCAGAGGTGTCAGGCTCTCCTCTGGCCACTCCTAGTCCTGTCACTGCACTTATGTCACTGAGCTTCAGTGAAATGTGTAGACATGTGTGTGCTCCTGGGCTGTGAGCTCCTCTTTATTCCACAAGGTGATTTGTGGGTACAGAGTAAACCCCTTAGAATTAAATAAATTTGCTTTTACCTCATCGCTGCTGAGTTGCTTTGCTCTCGGTAATCTTTGAGACTTATTTTCTTCTGATTCTTCATCGCTGTCTGATGAATAGATTCTGGCCTGTTCCTCTGAAAGCAAAGGAACTATAGACATGAGACTGACCTCCCAAGATGAAGACCCATTTATTCCTGAATTTTTCTTCTGGTGAATATTACTTCCCAGTGTACATTTTCCCTTGAAGAGCCAACAATTTTAAGTTTCGATGAGAACATACGTAAAACTTTCAGACATGCTGAAGTGACTTAAAGTTGAGGTTTTCTTCTCAGATTGATCACTTTTAAATACCCAAAAGGCTTTAGCACACATTTTTAAAACCTATCAAGTTTAATTATCGGGTCCTTAATTATGTAAGCAGGCAAACTGCCTATTACACAATTTCTTCCAGAAGGACACAAATTATGTAATTCATTTTCTTTATTTTGGCGGTGCCTTATTTTTCCAGCTAAGCTATTCTGAGGGAATGTGATCCTAACAGAAACAAAAATAAAACGCCTCTGTACTGCAGTCCTAAGGAAAGAGTGGCCGGCCGGAGAGTAAGAGCCCACCAGGGCAGAGGCAGGGCAGAGGCAGGCCCTGCGGCCCCGAGAAGAAAGGCCACCTCCACACCTGACTCACCTCCCAGTTCCCCGTGGTACTGGTTTTCAATGGCTTCATCGCCTTCCTCCTCCTCGTCACTGCTGGGGTCCCTTGGCCCCTGCTGGTTCTGCTTGTTCTGCAGACAGACTGTTGTCCTCTGGTGAGATGACCTCACACGTTTGTGTTCTTTCTGAAGGAAGCAAACGATTTAACTTGAACTACCTTTGTGCCTACTTGAACTTATTTTTACTACATTTAGCTATGTTCGGAGCACAATTCTCTCCATTCCACACGTTACCACACACAGTGACATCTTGCTTGGCTCTAAGGCGTGAAGGCAACAAGAGGGTGAAGAGGCAAAGTCTCCCTCATACCAACCACCCCATCAGAGCCGGCACAGACATGGCCTTGGGAGCTGCAGCGTCCCCTGCGCTGCCAGTCAGAGCACAGAGGGCGGCGACCAGCCTGAGCAGTGTCATCCATGCCCAGCGGACGCCTCAGGGAGGCTGTTTCCGTTCACCGGAGACACACACCTGACTTGCCCAGGCTCCTCCAAACTACCAGTGCCCACATACTCCTATCTGGGCCCCTCCACCCAGAGGGCTCCCCACTGCTCCTGACGACAGGATGGGAAGGTGTTGGTAGGGGAGGGTCCCAGAGCCCCGAAGTAGAGCCTCATCCCCTTCCATCTACCCGGCACTCCATATGTTGGGGTTCACAAGGGAAGGCCAGTGTTGAATGAGTCAGAAATGTNAAAAAAAAAAAAAAAGGTGACCTGAGTGACATCAACATGATAGTAGAGTGAGAAGACTCCATTGTTTCTCCCCTTAAATTTATAAATCAAAACAATTATAACTCTACAAAGAATCATTTGCTCAACACAAACATGCCTGAAAGATAAACATCTGGGCATATTGGAACGAGTAGGGGAGGTAGGATGGGGTGGCTGAGGGAGGACAGGGATGGTGGCGGCAGATGCTGTTCAGTGCCCACATGGCTCCTCCAGTGAGCTCGGTAACTGGAGAAGTTGAGCTGCTGTCCTCACACTATAGCCTGGTGCCTGAAAGGGGCAGAAGCAGTTTCCCTCCAGGAATAGGCATCTCCCTTCCCCCTTCGCACCTCACAGAGCCAGGTACAGGTAGCTGGGAAGCTTTAAACGAAAAGATGAAATATTGCCATTTGCGACAACAGGGATGGATCTTGAGAGTTTATGCTAAGTGAAATAAGTCAGACAAGAACCATATGATTTCATCTACATATGGAATATAAAAACCAACAAATGAACAAACAAGCAAAAAAAAAACCAAAAACAAGCTAATAGATATAACAGAAGTGGTTACCAGAAGGGAAAGGAGGTGGAGGGAAGACAGAGCATAAAGGGGGTCAAATATATGGTGATGGAAGGAGATTAGACTTCCAAGTGGTGAGCACACAATATAGTATACATATGTATTAGATATATACCTGAAACTTATCAAACAATGTCACCCCAATTTAAAATTTTTTGGGGAAAATAAATAGCCAACCTTACAATTAAATCGTGCTAGTACCTCTCAGTGTTCTGGATGAGTCTCTAACTTGCCTTTCAGGAGCTAGTGCTAATTATGGATGAGTTTACTACACAACCATGAAATTAATGCTTTAAAAGTATAAAAAGGAGGGAAATACATAAATCAAGTTTTTTACATGATGAGATGATGGGACATTTTGTTTTCTTTAACCGTTTCTATTTTAACATTTTAAAAAATATATCTAATTAGTATTCAATTTTCAGAGGTAGAGAAATATAAACATTAAATAATGATGGATTTACATGGTCAAGTCCAAACACCACCAAGTTGGGAAAACCGACTTCAGAGAAGTTGCCCAAGGTAACACCGATGGTTTGTTCATTCAATAAATACATTCCAGCTACTGCTCTAGTCACAAAGTTAGAAGTTAAATCTAGTGTGTTTCCCACTGCTTTTTTCTCTAAACCTGTAGTGGCTGCTGATCTCAGGTAGGTATTTTGGGTGTCTTTCTCCATAAGGTCATTAATGTACCTGCTCCGCATGTTGGTGGTTGTGCGTAGAAGCCTCTTGTCTCAAAAATGCTGATTTTTTTACTTGGGTAGAAAAAACTTTGGACAGCAGTCTTAAGTTCTTTCAGCCTCAGCTTCCACATCTGTAAAATGGAATTAGCCCCTGCCCTTCAAGTTGTTCTGAGAATTAGGATTCGTAAGGCCCATGCAGCACCTGGCAAAGCACCCAGTGTCCAGTAAGCCCTCCTGTGCTGTACCTGCTTTTCCAAGGTCACAGGCGACCTTGTGGTCAGTGGCAAGTTAGTGCCATGCCAACGGAGACACAGAAGGGCCCTGAACCCAGCTAGACAGGGCAGGGAGGACATCCCAGAGGAGGCAACACTGGAGCTAACCCTAAGCTCACCTCTGGGCAGGGTCAGGGGATGGGGTGGGGCAGAACAGCAGGAAGGCATGAAAACCTAAGACCCAGAGCAAACAGTTACAAAATAAACTCCTCATTTGGGAAAAATGGATTTTCTAAAGTCACACACTTGTTTTTGAACATTTTTTTAATTCACAAGTAGGATTATGCAAAAGCAACTCAATTAGTCATTTCAACCAGAAGAAGTCATCACTTTTAAAAGAAACTGTTGAAAACAACACATACAACGAGTGCACACTTTATGCTTCTGTCATCGTCTTTCTCTTCACTCCCTGCTTTCCTATTTCTGGAGGGTTCTCCTGAAAAGATCGGAGAAATAAGAGGTAAAATTCAACATCAAAAGTTTCTGGATGAGCTGGCCAAGTGGCTGAGTTGGTTAAGAGTTCACTCAAAGAGTGTGAGCTCTAAGCAACAGGCCCAGCTGAGCTGCCA